TTCTACCTCCCACCCACCCTAGGAAATAAGCACAACTCGTTTCACAAGGGACTTGGGGAAAATATGCTTGTTCCTATAACGGCTGTCAATTCAGAGACCATTTAAAGTACAACTACCAACAACCAAGGAGTCTCAAACTTGCTGAGTATTTGCTTCTTGTCTTAAAAGCGTCACAGACTTACAACATGGGTGCAATCACTAGAATGGATACACAGGGACTAAGCCATTGAGAGGGCTGGGGAAAGGGGCCAAGCAGCTTTTCAAAATCTGCAGGCTTCCCAGACTGAAGGATACTGCCAAGCCCTGAGGGGCCATGTGCTCTAAGGCCTCTCTACTACTAGGGACTCATATGCATCGATTTTTTTTAAACCCCTTTCTCAAAATTATTGAGATGTAATTTACACAAAAATTTACCCTTTTAAAGTGTACATTACTGTGTTTTGTAGTATATTTACCATGTTGTGCAACCATCACCAATGTCAGAAAGTTTCCATCGCTCCATATATATCCCCCATACCTATTATCATATGCACTGATTCTACCCAAAGTTTCTTTACAGATATCTGTTCCCCAAGCAGGTGTTTAAGATGGTTGGTTGGGTGAATCTACAGAGTATCCATATAGTAAGAAAACAAGAAAGCTACATTGTCCAGAAAGATACTGAATCCAAACTATTGGCATTTTTAGCAATTAGTCTAATGTAATTTTTACATATTGGCTAAGAACAGCAGAGAACTGACATTCAACATCCACCTTTACATAACACATTAGTGTGCCTAAAATTCATCCAAGATGTTAAAAGAATGGAAGACAATCTACTAGGATTAACCACAGCTGTCCACAGTTGCAATTTCAAAATACAGAAGATGCATATGTGGGGAAACCTCCTTTAGTATCAAGTATAGCTGGATTAAAAAATAACAACAACAAATGAAAAATTTAATCATTAAGCAAATATTGCTCTGTTTGGGAACACAATCCCTAAACCAGTCCACTAGTTAAAAGTAATGTAGCTATAAATACAACCTTACTTTTATCACTCTTCTGAACTAGAATCTCTTCTAATGAGCAAAGTAACTGTTAGGCAAAGGTTTGGCAGGAAAGCCTGCAGATGTGGTGCTCTGGCTGCTGCAGGATTCTTATTACCTAAGTGAGCTCATGGCTTCTAAGACACACAGGAAGGAGACCTCACCTTCAGGCATCAGGGTGTTGAAAGCGGGAGGAAGTAGGTCCACGAGGGTGTCTTGCTTTTGTGCACTTATCTGGGGTGCTATTTCCAGAGGAGTTCCTTTATAGAGTGTGCCCAAGATGGATTTCTCTAAGTTGCTCTCAGAGTTGTCCAGCTGCCCTCACCAATAAGTCACAGTCTTTGTAGGTTGATAGAAACCACCAGTCAAAGCAGATGCATATGGATTGTGGGGAAGCCTTCTTTAGTATCTAACATAGCTGGATTAAAACAAAAAAACTTAACCATTAAGCAAATCTTCACTTTAATCATTAATTTAGATTATAGCAAATATCAACTAGGTGCTAAGCTTGAGTCTACCCTCAGCATGGGCACTTAACACTTATTAATAGGAATTTTGTGGGTTTGATTGAAGGCCACAATGAGCTCTTAATTTTGGTTATGCAAAAAATTAATTCTACTTGATAAATAAGTAAACAAGATCCAGAAATAGTTATTGGTAATTTAATTCATTCCTGCTGAGGTTGCTAAGCAACGCTTCCAGTGACTCCTGTTGTGCAACAAGTTGTACTCTAGTAAATATATTTACAATTTTATTGCAATTTGCAATAATGATTTAAATACATGTTCATTTCCTGGATTTTCTAAAACAAAATCAGATGCAATCAAGTTCATGATATTTATATAATGTACAAACTAACAAATTTGCCTCAAAATAGTTATCTATAAAAGTACTGCTACATTATCCTTGTTTAAAGATGCCCAGGAAACAGTCCTAAATTAAAATGACACTTGACTAAATGAAGCTATAAACTATTTATCCACTGTCTACCTATAAGAAATCACCCAGTGGCCAGAAAACGCCAAGAAACCTTCACAAAACTATAGTTGCATTTTCCTTTAACACAGGGCATTAAGAAGTTTGAGAATCAATTGCAGGTGAAAGAATCCAAAAATGATCAAATGTCTTTGAGGCTCTTACAGGGTCAAAATAACAACATAACTGTTATACAATAAACAGCCCAAAGTTAGCTAAATTTGTAGATGTATTTTGGAATGTAATTGCTCCAAAATTTCCCATTCTTAAATTTTTTTTATATAAAATTCTTCTAATATATAAGATGACCTTGTTCTGAATAAACTTGGATGAAATTTACTCTTTGTGAAACAACAAGACAAATCACCTAGCAAAAGGTCACATGGTTCTTGTATTGGAAGAACACTAATACACGCACATTATCATTTTAGGGTGCTAATCACATATTTGGAGCTGTTCAACAGAGGAAATCGTGATATAACTATTTTCTAAAAGGGTGAGATTCCTGCCCTAGCTGGTTTTGCTCAGTGGTTAGAGCATCAGCCTGTGGTCCAGAGAGACCTCGGTTGCAATTTGTTACCAGCCCTGGTTGGGTCATGCAGGTGGTGGCCACTCGATATGTACCTTTCACGTCGATGTTTTTCTCTCTCCCTTTTCCTTTCTCTCCCTCCCGCTCTATCTGAACAAAGAATAAAAAAATATCTTCCGGTAAGGATAAAAAAATAAATAAACAAATAAAAGGGTGAGATTCTTCAAATCTAGCACAAGTGCCTGCTGAAAGAACTATTTCAAAGTTTCCCTTAAATCATATTATTCAAGAGATTAAAAAAATATCAAATTTCTTCTGAATTTTGCATGTCACATAATCTCAAATAATAGTTATATAAAAATACACAAAATTAATGTAATTAGTGCATAATAAAAATTTGGCAGATTAAAAAAATAAACGTTCAATAAAAACAAGAGGTCTGTATCTATCTGTATTCAATGATGGGATCCATACAATACCTAAGGCCACAATTAGATTGGAACAAATTCTGGAATTTATGCTGTGAGGAAGAGTAAAAAATTGCTGGGCAGCTCAAAATTTCATAGCAAATATTAAAATTAAAATTAAAATGTTCCTGTATCCTAATCCTAACTCCCCAAAGCAACAAATAGGTTCATCTTTTAAAAAAAAATCAGAGCCAGCTGAACTGGTGTCATCATCTGTGCCCTCTTGCTCCCTGCTCCTCAAACCTGGGAAGACAAGGGAATGAATTTTCCTAATCACCACTATCACAGCTTCTGAATGTCCATAAATCTTCCAAGAAAGACAGCTGATTTCTATCTCTGATTTTTGGAGATACACACACACACACACACACACACACACACACAGAAATAAACAGGTAACAGAAAATAAAGGGAAACACCTACACTCTCCAACCACACAATCAAACTTAGTTTCACCTACTACTGTTGATTTATAAGCCACCTCAAGAGCCAAACCTAATTACTCTGCACTTACCCCACAGGGGATGGAAAGACTGGTTTTCAACAAATGAGCATCAGGAGGACCAAGACTCAGATATTAACATTTATCTACACAAAGCTATTGACTTGTTTCATCTGTCAATTCCATAATGATCAGAAAGCCTTTCTAACATAGACTCCTCAGTATTCTCAATGACAACACAACACAGAAAGAGGCTGCTGAAACCAAGACTCACATTACTGAGAATGTTTACAAGCAGTTTACTGAAAAATGTAATCCAAGCAACCTGAGATTATAAAGTCCCCAATTATGAGAAGTGTGCAGATTTCCAAATGAAGACCATACTGCTGATTGACCGCAACATGCACCTAACCAGTAGTCCCTAAGGTAAGACCATGTCACCAAAACAATGGAAGGATTGCAGAAACTCCAGTTAAGAAAGGACCAGCAAAGCCACGCCACATTAGAGAAGTTATAGTTAACATGAGTCTGCCTGCAGTCAAGAAAAAGCTTGAAAGCTTCAAATGATTTCAACCAATAGCAGAGACTCTCACAAAGAAACCAATACACTTCCTGAAATTGATGTCCCCCAATCCCAGAACAGTTTCCCAATGGGCTTTACTTCTGCGACCAGAGCTCCTCCTTTTAGTTCTTTCTACTGCTCTTGGCTCACCAGGCGGCTCTTAGGGGTTGTTCGAGCCCCCCAGGTTCCAAACCTCCAGCAAGCCTGAGGTATACTCGGGGGTCCTTCTAGACATGCACATCATGGGGAGGAGAGGCAAAGAGCACCAGGGAAAATGGAAATGAACATTTTGCTCAATAAGAGGGCCCGCCTCTTTTCATCTTTCTTTCTCCCAAAGCACCTAGCACTAGGGCGTCACTTAAGGTGCCTTCAAAGGCCATAAAAAGACAGGAACCTACACGTAGACACAGGTAGATTCCCGGGACGAGGATTCGACTAGTGTCACCACCTGGGGCTCTCCCTCCGATGCCACATTTCCGTGGGGACTGAGGACATCCTCAGACCCCATCATGCTCAGGTCCCTGACTCCGGGTTAGGTCAACTGTGCAAGTGGGAAACATACGGGCCTCGGGGACACAAAAGGCCTGGACTTTCACGCTAATCGCCATTCATAGGTGGCTCCAGGGCCGGCCCCCAAGGGGCTCATCCTGGTGGTGTCTTGGGCGTCTTATCGTCCCGCAAGTGCCTGGCTCTGTGGTTTACGGTCTCAGAAACAGTTAGGCCTCGAAGGCCCGGCCCAAGCCGTGTGCGCTCCGCACCCCGGGCTCCCGCCTTCCCCACTCGGCGGCGGGGACCGAGTTTCCCGCCCCACGGCCCGACCAGAGGTTGGTGGCAGTTGGAGGCAGTTGGGACCGGCCCCAGCAGGTTGGAACCGGTCTGAGCCGGGCAGGAGGAGGAAGGGGGGAGGGAGAGGCCGCCTCGCGCTCTCCCTGCGCGCGTGACTCACGCTGGCCGCTGACGTCAGGCGTGCGCGCGCGGCGGGGGGGGCTCTACGTACGTGTAGTGCTGCGGTTTCTCAGGCTGTGCCTGCAGCACCTGAGCGGTAGCGGCCGGGGGCGCCGAGGAAGCTGCGGAGCCGCCGGGCCCGGGGCCCTTCGACATGGTCCTGTCTTCCTGCCTCTTCGCCGCTCCCCTTTTATTATTCAGTCTGCGCGGTCCGCGCTGAGGACTCAGTGCGCCTGCGCCGCGCCACGAGAACGTGAAGACCCCCCACGTGGCAGCAAGGGTTGCTGGGAGTTGTGGTCCTCGGTTCGGCTGGAATTTTACCGTCAGCAGAGGGTTGCTGCCAAAGGAACGGACCACAATACCCAGGGATCCTTGCAGACGGTGTCCCGGATGCCGAGGGCCCGCGACGGCTTTTGGGAATTGCAGTCCGGCCGCGTTTCTCCTCCTTAGCGCGGTTCCAGTTTCGTAGGGGTACTTTTCCTTGAAACTGGAGACCCTGGAGTAGAGGGGGCCCAGAAGTAGGGAGGTCCTGACGACTTGTGTGAAAGAGTTCCAAGTGTAATTTTACTGCCAACTTTGTAATAATTACCTCGCCTCCAGACTTGGTGTATCGTGGGCTCGGTTCAGATGCCAGCCCCTAACTGTGTTTAAGAATCTTGTATCCTCCGTGTGTGCTGCAGGCACCTGGAGTGCGCCGACATCCTTACTCCTGCATTGGTACTAGAGACTAGTAGGGAAGCCTGTCTGCTGGAAGGCAGCTTGAGAAAGCTTTGCTAGAGAAGAGCTGCACAACACGATACTCTGTTCCCGCATCTTCGCTGGGACGCTCCAGAAACCTTGAGCAACCCTGAAACCCCACAGTTTGGTTCTTTTTCAACTTGACACCTGGCCCGACCAGCTTGTTTCCAGTACGTTAGGGGCCAAGGACGAATTTAATCTCTGTCTAGAATAGTTTCAGGTACACTGGCAAGTTTCAGGGGTGTTGAGAAGCATTACACAGTGTCCAGAGGAAGGTTCGGGTTTGAGTAGGAGGTGCGACTTATAATCCACTCCAGTTTCCTTTTCTGAAACGTCAGCCTTTCTATTTGGGAAAATGTCTCCCCTCCCTGCTTCCCACCAGTGGGGCTAAGTTTTTCGCTTTGTGGCCTTTGTAAAATAAGCCAGTTACCTCAAACTTAGGCATTTGATTCTGTGAGGTTTACAAAGTTCTTCATAGATATTTTAACGCTTTGGTTAACTAATGATCATCCCATTAAAGAAACACTCTGAATAACTTTAGGAGTGAGGGAGGGTGGGGGGAATGCAAAATGTTTAATGTTTAAGAATGACACACAGGCCCAGCGGTTAGCGGACGAAGGGTCCTGGGCTTGAGTCCTGATTAAGGGCATGTACCTGAGTTGCACGTTGGATCCCTGGCCCCAGTCCCAGTCAAGGTCATTCGGGAGGCAACCAGCCCCCCCTCCCCCTCCCTCCCTTCCACTTTCTCGAAAAAATATCCTCCAGTGAGGATTAATTAAAAAAAAAAGAAAAAAAGAATGACACACTCATTTTTATCTAATTCCTAGTAACCTCATATCAGAAGCTAAATTGTCAACTTACAACATTAAAAAACTGGTATTTCACCCTGGCCGGTTTGGCTCAGCAGTTAGAGCATTGGCCTGTGGTCCAGAGAGACCCCAGTTCAGTTCTCGCTAGGGGCGCGTACCTCGGTTGCGGTTTGTCTCTGGCCCTGGTTGGGTCAGGGCAGTGTGGGAGGCAGCCACTTGATGTGTCCCTTTCATGTCAGTGTTTCTCTTTCTCTCTCTCTCTCTCTCTCTCTCTACCATTGTATCTGAACAAAAAATGGAAAAATGTCCTCCGGTGAGGATAAAAAAAGAAACAAAAAGAAACGTATTTCTTTTTTCTTTTTTCAATCCTCACCTGAAGATATTCCATTGCTTTTTTTTTCATCATTTTTTTTTTTTTTTTAGATAGAGCGGAGGGAGGGTGTGAGAGAAACGTATAGATTGGTTACCTCCTGAACGTGCCATACCTGCCCTTGACCAGGAATCAAACTGGGGACCCTTAGGTCTGCAGGCGGATCCTCGAACTGCTGAGCCAAACCAGCCAGCGCTTTTTTTTTTTTTTTAGAGAAAGAAAAAGACAAACATCTTTGTTGTTCCACTTATTTATGCATTCACTGGTTGCTTCTTGTATGTGCCCTGATCAGGGAGGGAACCCACAACTTTTTCATGTCTGGACGACTTCTAGCCAAGTGAGCTAACCAGCCAGGGTGAAACTGGTATTTCTTAAAACAGGCCAAATGTTTAACCACTAGGAGTGTTGGAAGATGAAAAATTACAAAAGGACAAACAAAAATTGTAGTGTTTTGTTTTAATCCTATTATTAAGGCCCAGTAATTGGTTTATAGTTATCCCCAAAACATTCGTGTGATTTGAATGAAGAAATATAGTCAACCCTGGCTGTGAGGCCACTTGGTTAGAACATCCTCCTGTTATGCCAAAGTTTCGGGTTCATTCCCCCAAGAGGGCACATGCAGAAATCAACCAATGAATGCATAAATAAGTGGAACAAATTGATATTTTTCTCTCTCCCTTCCTCTTTCTCTCTAAATTAAATCAATAAAAATATTTTAAATATACAGTTCATAATGCTAGATATTAAATAAGTGTATATCATGAGTTTCAGAGTAAGTGTGTACTAGTAGAATTGGGAGATGTCCAAACTGCTTAAATTATAAAACAGGAACTGAAACTCAGAGAGGTTAAGTAACTTGCATAGACTTACTCAGCAAGTCTGTGACAGAACAAAAATTAGAACAGTTGTCTACATCACATTTTGCATTGTTTTGATTGTATGACTGCCAAGTAAGAGGGATAAACTATTTCCATTAATTGTCCTTAAAGAGATGAATGTAAATCCATTCCTGGTTTCTCCTGGAGCAGTTTTAGTTCCTCTCTAATAATTACCACAACTGAAAAACAAACAAACAAACAAAAACTGTACTGTCTTGCCCTGGCTGGTTTGGCTCAGTGGTTGGAGCATTGGCCTGTGGACCAAAGAGTCCCGGGTTCGGTTCCCGCTAGGGGCATGTACCAAAAACAAACAAACAAACAAAAAAACTGTACTGTCTCTCCTGTAGGAGGCATGGGACAGACAGGGTTCTGGATCTCCTATAAAAACCTTGGAACACGAAGCGGGTGTTTCAAGGAGCCCATCCCTTCTCCAGGCCCTTTGAGCAGAGAAAAAAAAAGCTGATGGGGGTATTTTTCTAGTTACATTCCAGACTACTTAACAGTCTCCTGGGAGATCTAAGCAGTGCCCTGTTTCTTTGCTTCACACACACTCTGAGAACAGGGCACGAGTCTCCCTCCATCTTGGTTTCTCTTCTCAGCATGGCATGAATGAAAATAGAAACCTTAATCTTCTCCCTGCTCTAAATTCTAAAAAGGAGGCAGAAATTAAAGTTGATTAAATTATCACACAAAAGCTTAAATATACGATAATTAAATATATATTTTGAATGTTACAATCGAAAGGGCTGAAATAATGAGAGGGATTCGGTACCAGAAATTGGGCCAAAGATGTTTTCGCCATAGCTCCTTTTTCAAATTGTGCATTTTTTCCTCACTATTGATATTGAGGGGAGACTTTAGGTGTCGCAAGTACATTTTTGAGGTATTTGTATTTGTAATAATTCTCTTAGTTGAAATTTCTATGTAACTGGTTTTGCTGAAATAAAAAGGTTTTAATGAAATACTCAGTGAACCCAGAATAAGGGCTATGGAGTAGAATGCCCAAGGCTTCCTTTCAATGTCTGAGCTTTGTTTGGCTGGTCTTCACCTTAAGCTGCTTTGGTATTTTAAATACCTGAATCACTGGAGGACTGACTATTGCAAACCATCCAAGAAGACATTTATTTTAGGTGAAAATACGAATGAACATTTAAAAAAATAAATTTACTTTATTGATTTTAGAGAGAGAGGAAGGGAGAGGGAGAGAGACAAAGACACTGATGAAAGAGAACATTGATTGGCCCACCTCCTGCATGCCCCCCACCAGGCATCCGGCCTACTACTCAGGCATGAGCCCTGACAGGGGAATCAAACTGGCAACCTCTTGGTGTGCATGGGTCAACGCTCAACCACTGAGCCACACCAGCTAAACAGGAATGAACATTTTTTATACATTTGTCATGTTTCTTCAGAGTAATACCTCCAGGATATACCATTAAACACAGGGGCATATATTAAATGCAGTTGTCTTGTTTTTACTCTTTATGGACATGCAAATGTTGTCAAAGGACTAGTCCCATTTTGGCTATAGTAATTTCATTCAGTTGAATTACATAATTAAAAACTATGTTGCTTAGAGGTTACATATATTGAAATCACAAACATTTTGTAACGACTTAAGAACATACAAGGTGGTACTTATAAAATCACTGACAATTGTTTCTTTGTAGCTATTATTTACCCCTCCCCATCCTACCAAACAAAAGAACTGCTTTTTAGTTAAAATGTATATGAAAATAAATAAAATACTTGGTAATATAACATGATTCACAAAATTCTCATTCTCAACTATCAAAATGTTACAATAAATTAAACATTTACTGGGAATATTTTGTACAGGTTCTTGAATAAAACTTGGGAACAACAACAAAAAACAAATGAAAACTACCAAAATGTTAATGAAAAGTAAATAATCACATTTCACTTTACATTGGAAAGTATTTACAAAAATTTTATTAAAGTAACCTCTTCCTGCATTGACTGCATTATTTGCTGTAAATAAGGTTAGGCTCCTGACCATCCAAGACTCTAGTCCTGATGGGGACCAGTGCAATTCATTTGCATTGACTTTCTATTGTAGAGCTTTGGAACCAAGGGAAGGATCCAAACATAGCTCCATTTTATCCAATGAGAAGAGCCTCTTAGTGCTAAACTCTGATTCGTCCATTTCTCTTTGCTTTCATCCAATCGCTAGGCCACTTTAACAGCCAATCAGCGGCCTAGATATTCACCAATCAGAGTACAGGTCCCAAGCACGGCCTTTGTGTCGAGGGATGTCAACGCGTCGGCGAAAGCTTCGGCCAATAGAAAAAGTCGTTGGTGTATGCAAATGAAGGTCCTGTGACGCGGAGACGCAGCGTGAAGCGTGGATATAAAAGCGGAGGCTTCGGGGGGGTTTGGAGCAAAGCGGTTTGGTTGTTCGTTGCAGCGGCCTCTTCACTTCGCTCCTCGGTTGCGGCTCTTCCTTGGGCAGCAGGAGCGGCACGACGGACTAAGAAGCGGCCTAAAACTTCGGTGTCGAGTAAGCGTTCATGGGTCTACCCGTGAGTTGGGGCCGCGGCAGCCGTTGATGCCGCAGGCTGCGGCCGTTTGGGGCCGAGTGCCGGCTGGTGCCGCTGGCATCGGATGTGGGGTCGGGAGGTTTCCTCTGGGGCTTCGTTCCGGAATCGCGTCTGTCCCCGTCTTTTACGCTGGCAATTCAGAAGTCTTGGCGTCAGGTTCCGGGCAGCGGGGCCTCCGCCCGTCGTGGAGGGGAAGTGACTCCTCCCTGCCCTCCCCCTCCCGGGGGAGGCTGCTGCTACTCGCAGCCTGAGTCATTAGGGGAGGGGGAGGAGGCGGTGGCGGCGGCCTCGGCCATCTGCCGCCGCGAGGTGGGGTGCGAAGAGGCGGGAGGGCCCGGGCGCCGCGCGGAGCCCGTCCCGTCCCCAGTCCCCACGCCTAGGGGAGCGCTGCGGCCCGGGAGTCATGGATGTCTTCTTTAGGTGAAAGAAGATGGCCCGTACCAAGCAGACTGCTCGCAAATCCACGGGAGGGAAAGCGCCCCGCAAACAGCTGGCCACTAAAGCTGCCAGGAAGAGCGCCCCCTCTACTGGCGGGGTGAAAAAACCTCATCGCTACAGGTAAGCAAGGCAGAGGGAAAACAATGACTCGGCGGCGCTTGGCAGTGCGGGAACGGCTCCTGGTAGGGTGCCGGCGCTGTCAGTTAACTGGTGTCCGTTTACGTCCTCCTCGCTCAGGCCCGGGACCGTTGCGCTTCGAGAAATCCGTCGTTACCAGAAATCGACTGAGCTGCTGATCCGGAAGCTGCCTTTCCAGAGGTTGGTGAGGGAGATCGCCCAGGATTTCAAAACTGATCTGAGGTTTCAGAGTGCCGCCATCGGTGCGCTGCAGGTAAGACGTCAGAAAGGCCGAGGTGTACGGGTGGAGGGCTTTGAGGCTGCTTTCTTCTCTCTTCGAAGAGAGTTTAATAGTGTGGCTCTTGTCCTCAACAGGAGGCTAGCGAAGCGTACCTGGTGGGTTTATTTGAAGATACTAATCTGTGTGCCATCCACGCTAAGAGAGTCACCATCATGCCCAAAGACATCCAGTTGGCTCGCCGGATACGGGGAGAGAGAGCTTAAGTGAAGGCAGTTTTTATGGCGTTTTGTAGTAAATTCTGTAAAATACTTTGGTTTAATTTGTGACTTTTTTTGTAAGAAATTGTTTATAATATGTTGCATTTGTACTTAAGTCATTCCATCTTTCACTCAGGATGAATGCGAAAAGTGACTGTTCACAGACCTCAGTGATGTGAGCACTGTTGCTCAGGAGTGACAAGTTGCTAATATGCAGAAGGGATGGGTGATATTTCTTGCTTCTCATGATGCATGTTTCTGTATGTTAATGACTTGTTGGGTAGCTATTAAGGTACTAGAATTGATAAATGTGTACAGGGTCCTTTTGCAATAAAACTGGTTATGACTTGATCCAAGTGTTTAACAGTTGGGGCTGTTAAGTCTGACCATGCATCACTGTGATAGAATGGGGGCTTTTTCAAGGGTGAAGATACAAGTCTTAACCACAGTGTAACTTAGTTTCCTAAAAAAAAAAAAAAAAAGTAAACCTGGCAGCTATAGAATACACTATGTGCATTTATAATAGCTATTTTATATATTGTAGTCTCAACATTTTTAAATTAAATGTTTTACATTCACATGTGGGGAGTCTTGTCATTAAGGTGTGTGTAATTTAGGGTCCAGTTGGTTTTCTCCCAGCTAGACTGCACTTGTTTTCATAGTAGTAAAATGCTTTGCAAATTATACCTTGCATAAGTCCTCATTCTACCACATGTTAACTAACCCTCTAGCTGATAATGCAAACACTATCTGGGGTGGGGGGGATTTTATTTATAAGGGCTCTAGAATATAATACAAGTTATTCACACCAGCATCATCTCTGTTACTAATATTCTGAACTAGTTAGTGCAGCTTTTCTTTGTGTTGTGGTTGGTTTCATAACTAGGTTGAGTTTTTCCTCTAGCAGGAGGAAACAGTACCCGAGTTTTTTTTTCCTTGTGGAGTTTGTATTATAATAAACCCTTAGAGTAAACTTGCTGTGGGGAGGGGCACATAGCTCCACTTATTGAACCTCTGCCGGTTAAGATGGCATCCAGTTAGGTTACATCTGGTATATGGTCCTGGGGAAATCACTTTGTAGAGCTGGTCTTCCAAGTGGTTTTAAAATTTATCCTTCTATTGAAGTTTTTAGGTCAATTATGTATGTTGACTAAATTTACAAATAAACTTGTTTATCCAACTAAGTGTCAAAAACCTAAGTTGAATTTACAAACATCCATTAATATATCCATTATCTAGGTTCTTTGTATCCTAAAGTTTGAGTTTGGCTTTAGGTTTTGTTTGGTAGACAAAGGAACCTTTTAGTTACAACAATAGTTATAGAAACAGGAAAAGGCCCTCTGCACTAAAAATGCCATATTTGCAGTGTGGGCTTAGGACAAAGTATCAGTATGCTTTCCTTTCTTCCATATTGTCAAGAAATAAAAAGCAATTCTAGGTGCCATGTAGGCCAAATTTATTTAAAATGCTAGGGTTCAAATTGGGGATCTGTTCATGAACCTCTTTGTGAACTATATTGATCTCTTTTTACAAGTTATTTTAAACACAATTCTCGAGGTATGAAGTTTATTGGTCTAAGCCACCTTTTCAGTATGAAAGGTTTTCTTGACTAACGAAGGCCAGCAATATAAAGCACAGTATCAAAGTTAGCAAGACATGGGTACAAGAGCCACCAGAAGCTCTAGGAAGACATTTATGCTCTAATAACCTTTTTTTTTTCTTCCTAATAGCTTTTTATTTTTTTTAGTAAGAATTAGTTTCAAATTTAAGGGGCTTGTCAAGAGAGGCAAACTAGAATAGGTCTGGGAATCTACTTAATGAACCTTATGTTGAGTCCAAGGTGGAATCCAACATAGCAAACTGGTTTTCTAGAAGGTTCCTCAGAACCAGCTCTGGAACAACAGCCAAGACTGACAATCCCTTCACATTGTGCGTCTGAAAGACGAAGTTCTAGACATTGGAATGTGCTGCGTTCCAGTGTAGCAGTGTCTGAATACAAGTAGGAACTTAGCTGTGGTGATAAGTCAGATTGTTGAGTTACCTGTGGTAACCCAAGTGGATAACAGTTGGACCTTCATCCCCCCCACCCCATTTGCATCCTGATGCAGAAGGTTCTTGGGTTTTATCAGGTGGCTTGGAATCTGCTTAAATAGTGCAACTTGCACTTCAATACTTTATTTGAGCACCCTTAACCTTTCTTGGTTTTAGGGAGCTGGCCACATAGGATATCCTGGGTATAGGTGATGGAACAGTTTCTAAGGAGACAAGCAAGCAAAAGTTGGAGCTGAAGGTATTCTGTGCCCTTGATAAATAGGCAAAAAATAAAGTTTTTGAAGTTGACTTGTTAATGGTCTTCATTTGAATGATAACATGTTTCTTTCACAAAATTTTCTATGGGGAGCTGTCCTAGAAAGCCTTGCCATCTGACTCCATTGGGGGTGAGGGGAGGACCTTCAGTAATGAAACAGGCAGACCTTTATCTTTAAAGGGATGTATTTCACCGTGTGCTCAGGACAGTGCCAATTTATGCTTGTTGAACTTCTGTATTAATATTGCCTCTCTTCACTGTCCACTCTCCCAATTAGGCCAGGCCGGTGTTGGCCAGGTAAGTTGAGGGCTGGAAGTGCCAGGTGTCCTGACTGGCTCTGTCTGGCTTCAAGGAGATTCTGAACCAAGCCATCACCCTTGTCCTGGATCCCCTAGGTTGTGCCTTTGGGAAGGTAGCTGAAGGGCCATGTGTTTGAAATTGCTGGCCAGAAGCCAGGTCTACCACAGGTGAGGTAGCCCCAGTGTCCTACCTTCACTTTTTTTTTTAATCCTCACCGAGGATATTTTTACATTTATCTTCAGACGGTGGGAAGGGGGTAGTGAGAGAGACATAGATTGATTGCCACCTGCACGACCCCATCCCGGGCTGGGGACAAACCACAACCGAGGAATGTGCACTTGGCCTCTTTGGGCCGCAGACTGATACTCTAACCACTGAGCAACCGGCTAGGGCCTCATCCCTTTAACTCCTTTTTCCTCCTATTAAGCAGTTACACTTAATGTAATTGTAAACTTCCTTGGCCCATGTTTCTGGGTCTCTAAAATCTCCCTACTTAGCCAGGCCAGTGTGGTTCAGTGGACTGAGTTGTCCTGTGAAATGAGAGGTCCTGGTTCGGTTCTCTGCCAGGGCACATGTGCAGGTTGCAGTCTTGATCCCCAGTAGGGGGCGTGCAGGAGGCAGCCGATCCTTGTTTTTCTCACATTGATGCTTTTATCTCCCTCTCTTTTAAAAATCAATAACATACTTTAATAAAAAAATCCAGCTTCATCCCAGAGCTGTAATGTAGACAGATGACTTAATTCTAAGGGACAAAACAAATTACATCCCATTTACAAAATCTAAGGTGGTATAAAAAGTATAGGGAGCCCTGTCCGGTTTGGCTTAACAGAGCGTTGGCCTGCAGACCATGAGTCGTGGGTTCGATTCTGGTCAAGGGCACGTACCTCAGTTGCAGTTCGTCCCCCACCCTGGTCAGGGTTGTGCAGGAGGCAACCAGTTGATGTGTCCCTCTCTCCCTCCCTGTCACTCTATCTTAAGATAAATAGGAAAATATCCTCAGGTGAGGATTAAAAAAGTATAGGGAGACATGCACTTTGAATCCAATTTCCTGAGATCTTTTTTTACACAAAAGATTTCATGGCGTCCAGTTACACATCAGAGGGAGGAACAGACCTGGGAGAGGCCAACAAGGACCTCATGACCCCCAGAGCCAGGTCTCCCACCCACTGCTTCATCCCCGGCCAGGGACCTCTGCTGCCGCCTGACCAGTGCCACTGAGGAGCGGGCTGAGCTGGCTGGAGTGGAATCGATTCTCCCACTCATTTCCTCGGTCACCCTACCTGGCTCCGTGCATGCCCTGGCCCTTGCCTGGGGTCCGGCATCCGGGCCCGGGTTTGTGTGGCAGTTGGAAAGCAGGTCTCAGGGTCACACTCGGCAGCAGAGGGTGGACACCGACCGCTCAGCTGTCTGTCAGCAGGAGACTCGGGAGCTTGCCCTGCAGTCTGCAGCACGGGGCCATCCTGTTTGGGAGCAGCAGCCGAGGACCAGGCATCAGCCAACCTAGCCTGCCCCAGAAGGGTGAGGGGCGGTTTTCCTCATGGCAGTGGTGTGCTCCGGTGGGCGGGGGAGCCTTGAGCCCCCACCCTGGGCATCCAGTCCCCACCCCTATCACCTCCCTTGTGTTGAGAGCACTTAACAGTCACCTCACTGAGGCATCGCCCCAGGCACTGGTCTTAGACCACAACTGAACTGGCTGCACCTTACCTGGGCCTCGTAATCTATTCCCTGACCCCAATGGTAGGCTCACCTGCCCCACCCCCTCCATGGGCATTCCTCAGGGATGTCACCAGTCTGGGCCACTCCAGCTGGACCTGGCTTCTGGCCAATAACTTCAGCACATTTGGTCTTCTGGTTACCTTCCGGAAGGCACAGCTAGAGAAAGAACGGAAGGAAGGACCAGGCAAGGCCCCTGCCCAGGTCGCTAACCCAAATCTCGCAGCATCCCCAGGGAGAAAACTGTCCTCTGGGCCAGCCTTCCGTTAGCAGGTCTGGGAAATGAGCAAGGCTGTGGGCCAAGGTGGGTGCAGCTGGGACGGCTTCAACTTATAAACAGGCTGTGCTGTGAGGAGGGCCAGAGGCCCATGTCCTCCCTCCTGAGGGGTACCTGCTTCCTGTGGTCCTGCTGACTGCCCTGCAGCCCTGGCAGCGAGGGGTCCCACCAAGACACCTGTCATCCCAAGCAGAATAATGGGACTTCTGTGTGATGTGCCCCCAGCTGTCCCGGTGTCTTCATGAGCACCGACCACGCCCAGGGTTGGGCAGGAGCCAGTACTGTTGGTCAGACGCAACCGGGGAAGCACTTCCTGGCCTTCCCCAAGCAGAGGACCCTCCCTCCCACCCCACGCACCCCACTGCTCTTCCCTGTGGAGGAAGCAGGGGTTCTGCAGTCACTCCTTTACCAAGGAAGGGGAGGGCACTTCAGTGAGGCTATGGCTCTTGGAGGGGCTGGGAGGCCACACATAACCTGGAAAGGGTCACAGAGGGGCAGAGTCAGATGCCAGGGCCTGGGGTCCTCTCTCCAGCTGCTGCCAGCTCTTGCTCTGGAAGCTGCAGTTCTGGGAACATACACAGTGAAATGGAGGGTGTGTAGGCGCTGCCGATACCAGAGACGAGAGGGCTCTGGGAAGAAGAGGCCAGTGGACTACAGGCTTAGGGCGGGTGGCCTTTTGCCGAGGGCTGTGTGAGGGACTGCACATGTCCCCATAGAGGTGGTGCCTGGGCTCCATTAACCCCTTCTCCCTTCCCATCCCCTCTGTTGACACGTGGGGCCCCAGGACCTTTCCCATAAGCTCCTCACCTCCTTTCACTGAGCCAAGGTGTTAGCAGAAGGGACAGGATGGGGTTGGGTCCAAGACTCAGGCATCACCAGCCTGTGGGTA